CAGCACAGCCTGGCGGCTCCCACTCGGGGTGTGGGTCGTTCTGGGCTGTGCCCATGGCAGGCAGGGCAGGGCAGACCTTTTTGCACAGCGGGAGCGGCTGTTTCCAGGAATGGCCCTTCACATTTGCTCCCAGAGGGAGTTGCTCCTTTTTTTTAAATTTTGAGATTTGCCTTTGGGGCCATGATACTCTTTTGCTGATAGCCCTGTAAATATCTTAAATGTTCTGTGTTGTACTTTTCCTTTTCAACTGATTTTTTTGTTGGGGGCATTTCTCCTTCCCTAGTGGACCTTAGATTCCCCTGAAGCCCATCCTCATAGTCCTGTCCCCCGGAGTGTGTGCACATCGGAGCAGGACCTCTTCCAGCCTTGGCTATCATCAGCGCCCCCTGGACGTCCTGCACCTCTCTGGAAGGTCACCAGAGGGGAGAGAGCCAGCGACAAGTGGAGCCGCACGTTGTCAAGGGAGCCAGCGCCTGTTTAGTGTCGTGTTAGGGTTAATTAATGAATCAGAGCTGGAAGAAGCACGAAAGTTGGTGGTAACTTGAAAAGTAGCACAGCCTCCAGCTTTGCTTCCCACCCTGACAGGTCCTGGTGGAGCAAGCCCAGAGCTAGAAATGGCACTTTCACTTTCCCAGCAGGCCCTTTGTTCCTCCAGGCCTCCGGAGGAATCTGCCTATCTGGCTTCGGGTGCTTTCAGCAAACTTCAAGAGTTGTGTTGTTTTGGAAATTGCACCTAACCTTTAGTTAGAGGTATTTGAAATTTGAAATTTAGGCCTCTGATTCCTTTTACAGATAAGAGTCTAATGATAGGGACAGCTTTGCTAGATTCAGAAAATTTAGTCCAAATCCATTGAGCTTTTTGTTCGTAGAACTGAAAGGGTAAGATTTACTGCTGATGCAGGGACAGACACACTTAGGTGAAAATATATTTACATTCTTTTCCCAACAGTGCAGTAATTAACTGGTCAGAAATTATTGTTTGAAGTATAGAAGAGAAACCTTAGCAGTGTTACTGGTCTTCTAATACTGAGAAGTGAGGGGAAGGGGCAGTCACGGGGCCAGCATAGATTCAAATTCCTGAGCGGTGGCTGGTGGGCGCGAGGTTGTGGCTGGGTCTGTGGCATGGCTTTTCCCAGGGTCTCTGGGTAGGCCGTTCAGAAGCCAGAAAACAGTTTTAAAAACAAAATCCATTAAAACAGATTTGTTTCATTCCTATACTTTTTCTTTCTTTGACTTTCTTTTGAAGACTAGAAATTAGGAAAGGTAATTTCCCAAAGTGCATTCCTAGTGCCCTGGAGCCTCCTTGGCTGGAGAGAGGAGGGGTGGGCCAATGGGAGAGGGGCTGCAGAGCAGCTCTGCTCTCCTTTAGAGAAGGGCCTAGGTAACTGGTGGGAGAAACTTCCAAAACTTGTGAGCATGGAAACAGTAACCAGTAGACCCAGCAGTTGTTAGTATTTTGATGTATTTGCCTCTATTTCTCTCTTATAAATGATCTCTTAATATTTCAGCACACATTTCCAGAGAATAGGAACATTCTCCTATATTACCCATTTAACAAAAGTAATATAATTCTCAAGAATCCTCTGACACCAAGTCCGTATTACAGCTTAATTTTTATAGACTTCTGCTGTTGAAATGCATTTGAACGTGTCTGTTGTAGATGACTACAGCTGTTGGCTAAAGTATTTTTTATTAAGTAACCTGGTAAAGCATAACACCAAGGTCCAGTAATTGCATATACCTTAGTATTCAGCTGTTTTTAGTTTTTTAAACGGCTGTTATTTTTCATCTCTTCGAATTTATTCAGCTAAATATTGCAAATGCCAGTGACCAGCTATCTTTGGGTACTGCATTTACATTTCATTCATTTATTTATTGTTTTATTTATTATTATTTTTATTTGTTTACTATTATTTATTATTGTTAATAATCTATGATCTGTTGATCATTTACTGAGTGTTAAAATTGTATCTTGCATGCACTGATTCAAACTTCAGCAAAAGTATTGCAATATATAGGTATCAGTTTGGAGATGAAGAAATGAACCGAGAAGCAGAGAGGCTAAGACACTTGCTGAGTATCTCACAGCTGATCTGTTAATGGCAGAAATGGGTTTTGATACTGGTGGTCTGGTCATTCTTATCAGTGTATTTTTGGGGCAGCCACTGTGTCTATTCATCTTTCTGTCCAGTGGCTGAGGTGGATCAGGAAGTCCATACCTGAGATGGGTGGTAGTGATGGGTGTGGGTTCTGAAGGAACAGCAGCAGGGTCATGGCCTGGGGCTGCAGGCTCCAGCACCAGCTCAGGCCATTGTAGGCTGAGCTGGGGCTTCGGCACTTCACCTCGTGGGGACCGGAAGTCTCTCGGGGATTGGTCTGATTTACACTCTGGAACCACAGGTCGACTTGAGGGCGTGTGGATTCAGGAGTGACTGGGGAGGGCGGCCTGCAGAACATAGGTCATCACAGGATAGTGGCAAGAGGGAGAAGCCAGGCAGGCCTGGTGTGTGCCGTTGGTACCACTGACGTGGAGGACACAGTTGATTCCCAGGCCCAGCTCCCTGGGCAGGCCTTGCCAGTCCTTGCAAATTCATTGCTCCCTCCCAACCCTTTTGGAAACTTCTCCTTGTCTCAAGGTGCCGGGGCAGCATGTTGTTTTATAATTGCATGTTTGCAGCTTTGCCTCCTAGTCCGACTTGGGAGTGCCTTGGTGCTAAGCACCATTCCTTACTTATCTTTTGATTCTTTTGCTCCTGACCTGTCTCTGTACTCAGTAGGCACACAGGAAGGGCTTGTTGTGACGAAGAGCTTGTTCAGTCTGAGCTGCCCTCCTGGGCAGTGCTGGGACAGCTCAGAGGAGCGTGCTGTTGGGTGTGGGCCTCGAGGATACTGAGGGAGACCGTCTGCCTACATTCATGCTGTACCAGCCTTGGGCTGCTGATGGTGCTTTTCTTTCTAGCTGTGTGCCTGGGCCTTGGCTTTGGGATCCAAGGTTTGCCACACTGGGGCTCTTTCTACCCATCACCAAGTTGAGCGTCAGGAGAGATGCATCTGCACTGGGTTCATTCATAGGCTCCTCGATGGCCAAAGGGATCTATTAATCGAGCATTTGCCCAGAGGTTAAATTCATCCTAATCCAGTGAATGTAGGGAATCTGGTAAGAGTCACTTAAATATAGTCCTCTGGTCTGGGCAACAAAATAGAGAAAGCGGGGAAGGAAGAAAGCAGCTCTCTGAGGGGCAGCAGTAGTCAGATGTGTGCCTTAGACTCAGGACTGTACGCGTGGTTATGTGATGATAGTGACTTATTTTCCTGTCCTCTTGGTCTTGCGTCTTCCCTCTGCATCTCCATCATCACGCATTGTTAGACAAGGAAGACACATTTTCTCTAATAAACTTTTTCCGCTGTTTTTAAAAAAATTAATTGATGAAATCATCTACCTTCTTCAAAATATTGTTCATTCCCTCTCTAGAGGAACTCACAGAGTGAGTGCTGCATTGGAAATCTATTTAAAACCCTAATCAGTGCATCGTTTCTGTGCTGAAACAATTAAATCACAGTCTCTTGGCAAGTTCCCAGTTTCAGCCTTGGAAAAAGTTTGTAATGCATCTTGCAGCAACAACAAAGCCGTGACTCATGTGGGTTCTCGGGGGTCTAGAGTGGACTCTGCACTCATATGCGCGGAATTCCTGTGCCTTCAGCCAGCCCCAGCACACACTGCCCTGCCTCTCACTCTCCACCATTCTTGTAGTCCTGGGAACATTTCCTGTGGTCTGGTGTGGCTGCAGGACAGTTCTCAGTTCCTCAGGTCTGGGTAACTAGCTGGCATACACTAGTTCTATGAGGCTAATTATTTATGGGTTGATGTGTTTCAGGAAGCCTTGGTTTGCCAACTTGGATTTGGTATGAATTTCTCTGAGAAGGTAAAATAGGTAGTATGGAGCTGCAGGTGTGCTAAGGCTGGTGTTGTGTGCTTTGTTGCTGGGGAAGCCATCAGAGACCCTCCTGGCCAGTAGAGGCTGGAGGCTTTTAAAGGCCCATAGGGTGCTGTGGGATGCGCTGTGAACATCCCCATGATCCACCTATGGTGCCTGTGCAGGAGAAGGTTGGGGTGGGGGTCCTGTTCTTTTTAGGAGGTGGAACCCTTATTTTCAATAGCAACAGAAAGAGCAGTCACAGAGATCTGCTGATTGTACTCCTGATGGTGGTGGGGGTGCAGGGAATTAGCTTTGATGGTTGCTTAGTCGTCACTGGGCAGCAGAGGGAGCCAGGAGGGAGCCCTTTGTGGGCCTCAGCGAATGTGGGCAGCTCGGTGCATTTTCACATTTCCCTAAGGTAATGGTGTTTGGGCCTTAAACTGTTGTTACCACTTTTTCCACTTGTACATTTATGTATTTTTCCCTTTAGAATATTTTGAAGTCCTCTAAAGACATCCTGTGTAGTCCTCACAGGGATTTATGGTGGGCTCATTTTGCAATACAAGGTGGGCAGAGAGGAAGAGGGAAACAGAGAAAGAGACGCTTGTGAGGTCGCCCCAGGCTGTTCTGGGAACATTTCCTGTAAACTACAGGGTCCTGCTAGCTTTTTGGCAGAGAGTTAAGCAACTCCAGCGGGGAAGGCCTACTGAAAAATGGGAACTGTCTTCTCTGGTCTGTGGGCAGGGAGGCTGTAGGTGCCTAAGGGTGGCCAGGGTCGGGGTGTTGGGGATTGCTAACCCTGACTATCAAGGCTGTCCTGAGGAAGGGGACGGGTGTAATTTGGTGAGCAAAGTTCTTTGCCTTGGTCCTCAGGGGCAACAGCCATAGTGCCCACATCCTGCAGCGCAACCCCACATGGGGTTGAGCCAGCACTGTGAGGGGGTAGTCCTGTGGCCTGGGTGCTGGACTCTCCTGCACTGACTGCTCCAGCCTGAGAGGCCTGGCAGGCAGGGGGCCTGCAGAATGGCAGGTGCGTATTGGTGGTTATAAGCTTTGCTTAAAAGAGTTCTGTCTGTGTTCCAGGTGCTCATTGCCATCTCCCAGTCCCCCACCGGGAACATGCACCTCCTGGTCGCAGGTACATCTCGTGTCACCTTGGAGCAGCAGAAGCGCCTCTGAGAATGGAGAGATAAGACGCTGTTCTTTCAGGCCTGGTGAGAAAGCTGTGACCCTAAGCCCACCATACGTCCCAATGGATCGCAACAGAGAGGCTGAGATGGAGCTGAAGAGAGGGCCCAGCCCGCCCAGGGCCAGCAGGAGCCAGGAGGTGGACGGGGACAAGGCTGCATGCCATAGCTGCTGCATCTGTGGCAAGAGCTTCCCCTTCCAGAGCTCGCTGTCACAGCACATGCGCAAGCACACAGGAGAGAAGCCCTACAAGTGTCCCTACTGTGACCACAGGGCGTCCCAGAAGGGCAACCTCAAGATTCACATCCGGAGCCATCGCACAGGGACTTTGATTCAGGGACACGAGCCAGAGACGGGTGAGGCACAGCTGGCGGAGATGCGCGTGTCTGAGGGCCTGGACGGGTGCGCCAGCCCCACGAAAAGCACGTCAGCCTGCAACCGCATCCTGAATGGGGCGGCACAGGTGGACAGCAGCAAGATCCTGCTGCGGAGCAGCCGGAAGGAAGTAGAAGGGGCGGCTGGTGCCGTGGAGGAGGCTGAGGCCGCGGCCCAGTGCTCCTTCTGCAAGAGCCAGTTCCAGCGCAAGAAGGACCTGGAGCTGCACGTGCACCAGGCCCACAAGCCCTTCAAGTGCAGGCTGTGTAGCTACATGACCTTGCGAGAGGAGTCGCTGCTGAGCCACATCGAGCGGGATCACATCACTGCGCAGGTGCCCAACGGTGGCGAGGCCTGCGTGGAGAACGGCAAGCCCGACCTGAGCCCTGGAGAATTCCCCTGCGAGGTGTGCGGCCAGGCCTTCAGCCAGACCTGGTTCCTGAAGGCGCACATGAAGAAGCATCGGGGCTCCTTTGACCATGGCTGCCACATCTGTGGCCGCAGGTTCAAGGAGCCGTGGTTCCTCAAGAACCACATGAAGGCACATGGCCCAAAGACAGGCAGCAAGAACAGGCCTAAAAGTGACCTGGACCCCATTGCCACCATCAACAATGTGGTCCAGGAGGAGGTCATCGTCGCAGGCCTGTCTCTCTATGAAGTCTGCACCAAGTGTGGAAACCTGTTTACAAACCTGGACAGCTTGAATGCCCACAACGCCATACACCGCAAGGTCGAAGCCAGCCGGATCCGTGCCCTGGCCGAGGAGCCGTCCACTGAAAGTCCCCTGGACACAAAGCAGTTCTTCCTACAGTGCCTGAACCTGAGACCATCTGTCGCTGGTAACGTGTCCCCTGGTGGGCAGGCTGGAAGGCGGGTGGCTGAGCTGGACCCCGTCAACAGCTACCAGGCCTGGCAGCTGGCCACCAGGGGCAAGGTGGCCGAACCGGCTGAGTACCTCAAGTATGGGGCGTGGGACGAGGCGCTGGCCGGGGATGTGGCCTTTGACAAGGACCGACGTGAGTACATCCTGGTGAGCCAGGAGAAGCGCAAACGTGAGCAGGATGCACCGACCACACAGGGCCCCCCAAGAAAGAGGGCAGGCTTGCCAGGGGACCCCACGCCTCCTGGCCACTTTGATCCCCGGCCAGCCGCACGCCCGACCCGCCGGGCCGCGGCTTCAGCTGGCCATGGCAAGTCCTCAGAGTGCTTCGAGTGTGGCAAGATCTTCCGCACCTACCACCAGATGGTGCTGCACTCCCGTGTACATCGCCGTGCCCGCCGAGAGAGGGACTCCAACGGGGACAGGGCACGTGCCCGCTGTGGCTCACTCAGTGAGGGTGACTCAGCCTCTCAGCCCAGCAGCCCCAGTTCAGCCTGCGCCACTGTTGACTCTCCAGGCTCTGGCCTGGCCGATGAGGCTGCTGATGACAGCGGGGAGGAGCCCATACCTGAACCAGCACCAGGTGAGCAACTGTACTCCGTTGGACTAGGTCAAGTAGCTGAGCTCAGGTAGCCTCTTACCTAGGTCACTCTACACGCAGCTAGTCACATGCTTAGGTGACCCTGCACCCAAGGATTTGGGCTATGCCCAAATAGCCTTGTGTCGTGGCAACCTTGTTCCTGGGTGTTCACCCTCAGGCAGCCTTTGACCACAGTCCCTGTGTCCAAGGAACTATGTTACCTAGGTGTCCTGCACCCACTGTGTACCTGGGGTCTGCTTGTGGGTGCACATGCAGGCACCTATCAGTTCCACTTGTACCTTCCTTCATAACTGACCTGTGTGTGCTTGCACAAAGAACCACCCTGTCTTCCTGAACTGACAGCCTCTACTGGGCACCAGTGATTTCTCAGCAAGGTGCACAGTCGTGGGCCCCTGAGGTGTGCTTCTGTCTTTCTTTGACACCCCAGGTGCAGTTCTCACCATACGACAGCTATGTACCCTTAAACAGTTGTAAACATCCGGTGCATACACCACAGACATGCACATAGGCGTGTACACACAACACACACACACACACACACACACACACACACGTACACACTTTCCTTTGCTCTTCTCTCTGAACACCAGACAGCACAGAAGAATAACTTCGAATTAGTGTGCAGTTATAACTAATCTCCTTGGATTCAAGTAACCCTGTGGGTTTAGGGACGGTTAATTGGAATGGAATACTTTCCAGGTAGCAGCCATGTAAATATTTCAAGATGCTTGGCTAACTTTGTTATCATACTTTTTACAAATTTTAAACATTTTCATATTCCCTATTATTTTTGCCGTGGGTAATTGAGAGTGAAAGGTGAAGTTCTTTGATGGAACTCTAACTTTCTGTGAAGCCGAGGGTGTTTTTTCTCTTCTCTTTGCAAGTCTGTTAGTGAGAGTGTTGCTTTCAGCTGAAAGTTGAGTGATAGGAATAAGAGTCCAGTGGGCAGAGCTGTTTGTTTTCTGTAATGAGAAAGAGGACCCCTGGGCATTTCTTTCAAACAAAGCACAGATCGATGCCACTTTCCCTCATTAGGGATTAAGCAGAGTCTCATTATTACAGGTTTATGCAGTGTGCTGCATTGGACGCCTGCTGTATCCACACACACAAGGGTGAGAGGAAGTGGGGAGCAGTAACTTGTCTAGGCCTTAGTGAGCCCCGCGCTCAGTCTGCATACTTGCATGTGTGTGTCCCCAGCCGCAACAGGTTCTGCTCGGTTCGGTTCTGCTCCTGCTTTCCCAGTCACTGATCCTGGGCGAGGGCAAGAAGATGTGGTGCCTCTGAAGTGCAGGGTTGTCCGGGAACTCTCCTGGACTCGTACAGCAGCTTGTTCTGTGGAACCCAGCGGCCCAATTGCGACCCCCGGTTGGCCCTTTTGAAGTTTAACTCTTGGTTTTCCTTTTGCATAGCTGTGGCTTTTACTGGTTGTGTTCTGACAACGCTATGACTCCTCTGTGGAGTGAACACTGGGTAAAATATTAAGCTAGCACTGTAGCTTCTTTTTTCCCACTTGGAAGAGAAGCAGTTCTAGTATTTAGAAAAGCTGTTGAGCGTGGTCCTCATTCATTGTGATGGCAGTCAGATGATTCATGGTGAGCTAACCCGGGAGCATGGTTAAAGTCAAGAAGCTGGGAGGATCAAGTTATTTTCATCACACAGTAGAATTTACTCTATTTTTTCTTTTCAGTTTCATTAATTTTGTGTACTTCTTATAGGCATTGTATGTATTTTCTCTCTCTATAGCTTAGTTTCTGAGAATTTTAGGTATATCTCACATGACTCTATTAAGATACGTATTGCATTTAAGTATAAAAGTTGGTGTTAAAGATAGGATGTGGTAGCTCACTGAGGAAAAACTGTAGCGTGATGGCAGCATAAAGTGTTACAGAGCCTTTGGGTCTGCAGAAGTCACTTTTATAATCCCAGAGCCCGGTGTCTTCCCGCCTGACAATACAGACCTCTCAATCCCAGCAGACACAGTGTCTAGGCCAGCATTAAGCTATCTAGGCACGGATATTCCTCCAGGAGAGAGACAGTGTCACATTTGCTTACTCTTAAAGCACCCTGATTTGTAGGGCCTGGCCAAGGCCTTGGAATAGCTGCTTTTGAAAAGAAACCAGGTATTTTGAATGCTATATTTTGATCTACAGTGTGCCCCTTTTTTTCCTCTAAAACGTGTACAGGGCTTTGGAAAATGCCTGCCTTGCTGTCACTGAGAAGCTTACCTAGATATTTAAACACTGGTTAATGCTCAGAGAGTGTTGATGGAGTGACTGGGTACATTCGCTAGTGTGGCGCGGGGCTGTGGAAAGTGAAAGGGAGGAGTAGGCTCTCGGGAGAGTCAGCAGCCTGCAGTAGCACAGTTGAAATTAGAGTTCGCATCTGTGTGCTCATCCCGTAATTTTACCTGAAAGAAATTGACATCCAGGAATAATTGTGGCTCCTCCTGGATCTGTACCTTTGGAAGTTCTCGTGGTTCCACTGCTTTGTTTCCCCATAGGACTGGGCTAGGCAGCCAGCATTCCTGACTTAAAATGCGGGGGAGCACAGCTGTGAGGAGAATTCAGTCACTGAAAGCATGTTCCTGAGCTGGGTTTAAATCCTCAACTGGGACAGTGGTGTGGCACTATAGCAACTCCTCTTTGGAAGATCACAGCTATTTATATTTTTGATGGGGGGAGGAGAGGCACAAGGGCATATAATTAACATTTATTTAAAAATGTCCTCATACAAAGTGGAATCAGGGAGCTCAGAGGCCACCACTTAGGAAGATTGCATATTGTTTCACAAGTAAGTATGTGAACCTCAAGTGTACAGGCCAGGAGGGAATTCTGCTTCAAGAGCATTTCTTTTTTTTGGTCCTGGGAATTGAATGCAGGACCTCACGTTTGCCAGGCAGGCGCTGCGTTACTGAGCTATATCCCCACCCCTAAGGGCGTTTAGATGACTTACGAGTAACAGCAGGACATGGAGAGATCATGAGCATCTTGGAGGGATTCGCTTCAGCTGGGGACCTGTGGCGTTCGAGGCACCCTGGCAGGCAGCTGAGACTGGGTTGCTGCAGGACTTGCAGGTGTTAGAACATGCCTTTCATGCAAGACAGCTAGGTGGCTGTTAACTGCTGTTTGTGTATTGTTTAAGTCAGAACTAATGTGGTAACCCCAGTTTTCCTCGATTTCTGATCATGCCAGCATCTGCCAGGTCAGGTTCATATTCCATGGAGCTTGTCTGCTGCCTGTGTTTGTGGGTATTTTGGAACTTACTTCTTAGGAAACCTCTGAGCTTTAGACATTTTAGGAATTCCAAGTGTTTAGCTCTTTCTGACTGAGAAACATGGCAGCTGAGATGGTTCAACCTGAGAGGTTAAAAACGGCACTGGCTGGTGCCCTCCTGGTGTGTGCAATTCGAAGAATTAAGGCATCTTCAGAAGAGGAAAATATGGTGAAGGGGAGGAAAGCTAATCTCAGCAAGCGGTCACATTTACTGTGTTCAGAGCACCCTGTTTTTGTGTGGCCAGCCTTCCTGTGGTGAGGGGCTCTGCTCCTTGTGCCTTCACCTGCTGCACTTGGTCTTTTGACCAGAGGACGTGAGCCACGTACATGCTTTGAGACTGGCCGTGGTGTGGACTGTGAACTCCTTCCTGGCCAGAGCAGGACCAAATGGCCAGTGAAAAGGTTACACAGCCATCCTTCTTCTTTTTAATGGACCGGGGACAGCAATTAGGACAGCTTAAGAACAGAATGTTTTCCTGTGTCTGCCCATTGAGACAGGATTGGAGGTGACTCGAGTGGACAAAAGTAAGAATGTGGCATGCTGGGGTTGGGCAGGCAGGGATGTTTGCTCATTCCGGGCCTGCTGGGCCTAGGGAGCGCCCTGCATTTACTCACTCAGTTTCCTTCAGTGTCCAGCAGATGTGACTTGTGGGGGACGCAATCTTCTCGTGTCCTGTTGGCCAATCTGCAAAGTGTGCTGAGTGCCTGAGCCAGGCATTTGAGACCGGTCTCCACAGTGCTGTCCTGGCCAGACACCTGCAGGCCAGGCTTTTGTGGAACTGAGTCAGGAGTGAGAGGAGAATCTGTCTTAACACTGACCCCACAAAGAGGCTGAGGATTCAGGGAAGAAGGGGTATGGGCGTAGGCAGGGAGAAAATGAGCAATGTGAGACCCGGGGGAGTTTGAGGTATGGACAGCAAAGAATAACTTGTCATTTTAACTGGGGAGGAATGCACCTGCCTAGAACACCCCATGGAAGAGACAGTCTTTGATGGTCCCCTGCTACGGCAGGCAGTGATTCTGAGAGTATACAGGTGTGGTGCATCTGTGGAACACCTGCCTACAGAGCTCCTGAAGGTAGAAGGCATAAGGCTGTGCCCTGTCGTATCACTCCACGCCTTTGGCTTGCTGCAGCCTGAGGCTCGCCTTGATGATGCCTCCAAGCTGTCAGGAGATGGCATGACGCCATTGACGAGGTGTCGGGTGTCCCCATGAGGAATTGTCACTCCTTCGGGTAGTCTCCTGAGAGTGAAATAAGCACAGGATAAAACCGCAGTGGGATCTGGTGATGCAGGAACTTGGGGCAGATGAAACGAGATGGGCAGATCTTGGGTACTGAGAGGAATTATGAAATGTGCAGACTGGCTGGGCAGGTGGGGGCAGAGATGCTCCTGAGGGCTTTGCAATATGCTGAACTCTGAGGATTTTATTTATTTTGAAATAAAGTATGAGTTGAAAACCTCATATTCAGTTCTTAGTTTAAAAATGGAGCCATGTTTTTAAAGGAAAATATCCAGGCATCCCTGGCAGTCAGCTACAGAGTGACGGCTGGGTTAGTGAGCACACGAGTAGCTGGAGCCCACCGCAGTCAGCTCCACCCAGTGGCCAGTGTTCATCTATTTTAGAATCATGATGTGAGTTGCGTATTGCAGCATGTTTTACAGTATTCTGATTCATTAAACACTGATAGTCCGTGCCTGGCATGTATGC